TACTTAGTTTACACCCTTTTTGATTATTGTCCACTTTGAGCAGTCACTAGAGATAGTCCCCTTGCAAGTCGTAATACATCTTGACTCTCCAATGGCACTCACTTGACCTTAAAGCCAAAAGTGGTTAGGCGATACGATGACTGGTGGTGTTCTGGGGTTCATTTCATATCTTATCTCTATTATATCTGCAAAGGTTATAGAATTTACTCTATCACCCATCACAGGTTATGCTATTTTCGTGATTCCCTTGGATGAGGTCGTTCCTTGTTGAGGATACAGGCCTTATGAATTGTACCGTTTACTGTAGCCATTATATCAAGTAGTGTAAAATTCGCAATTGTTAGGGAAATTAAGATACTATTGGGTAATCTCACCCAAAACAGATTTGTGGGAGCTATTCACAATAATTATTTCTTATTAAATATTGACTAATGTTGCACTACTTTGCTTTCAATACAGCTTTCTTAGTGTTTAATCAAGTTTCCCTTTGATTTCTATAACTTGAAGCCATGATCGATCAAGCCGATGGCCCTCATCGCTGCACCCCAAGACATTTCCATCCCACTTCCTCCGAAACCATAGCAATCGATCACCTGAACCCCATCTTCCTTATAGCTGCTGATTCTTGTTCCTCCGTTTCTAGCAGGCCTAAATCCAACATTAACTCTTCTAATATCAAACTTTCCCTCGATCATTAGATCCGGAAAATACGCTTCTCCTAATTTTATAAGATGCTCAGTGTCATTCTGGCTAGGATTCAGGTTCAAGTTGCCGATCTGTTTTGTTCCTCCAAGAATGATTCCTCCATTCAAAGGACGGGGAATAACGAAAATCCAAGACCCATTCGCTAACTGATAAGTGATGGTCTTATTAAGATACTGACAACCTAAAGGTGCTCTTACTAGTAAAGTCTGGCCTCTTATCAGGTAACTATTGGGATCAAAGCCTCCATTGAATTGAAGTCCCCTACCAGTACAGTTAAAAAGGAGTGCTCCGGGATATAGCTGACAAACCTGTTTCAAAGATTCAACTTTTTCTCTGACAAAATTCACTCCGTACTTCATACTCAATGTGTTTTCCAAAAATTCAAGGTACTTGGGCGAGTTCATAGCCCAAGTATCGTAAGAAGCACCAAATTCGATTCCTCGGGGCAATTGCAGTTTTTCAATAATTTTGAAATTGTCAATGTCTTCAGTATATCCAGCAGCAGTGGTTTCGTATAGGGTATCATTGTTCTCCAAGTAGTCAAATCCTTGTATCCATTTCACAGATGATTCAGGATTAGTGACAGCCAACTTCTTGAAAAATTTGTAGGTTGGTCGAGCTAACTTACTATCTCTCAATTCCTGTGGGCTTTTGGACGGAAAAGGCCTGAAATGTGCACCACTCTTGGACGATGTATACTCAGGACAATCTGAACCTGTAGAGGGAAAGTCGCTGGCTATGATATTCACCAGTGTAGCATCGTATCCATTTTCTGTAACGAGCTGGTAAGCAATGGTGAGTCCAATGACTCCAGCACCCACAATTACAATATTTTCACTCATCTTATGATTGAATCTTGGTGTTTGTAAACAAATTGGGGCGACACAACCGTATGAGAGTTTTTGTGGAGTTGACAACTAGGTAGAACACTTTATGAATACAAGAGCAGGGAGGATAAGCCTTGTGATATTGCTGAACTTGTATTCGTAATGCTGATAATACTACTTGCTCTGCATATATATAGGAAGAGGATTTCCGTGCACAAAAGAAGATCCCGTAAATAATGGGGGCATAAAAGAATGAGATTTCGCGGTGCGGTCCCCCCATTTCTCATACCTTTATGGGATGGTTTTTCCACTTTCAAACGGTAACCCAAGTAAGAAAGACAAAACCAAGCTCTATACCGCTACTGGAGGAGATTTTAGGGGGAAGTCATCCGACTAGTATGCCTGTGGTTCTTCCAAGTAATTCCAGGTACTCCAGGGTGTATACTCTGTATGGCGTGTACTTACCATAACTTCGGACGGGTTTTCTTCCACACACCAGCATCGCTCAGTTCCAGTCATGAGTCAAGAACCGTGCTCTAACAGGTCCAGTTAAGCAACATATTGCAGGGTTCTCCATTCTGTTTTGTTCGACATTGTTTTGCCCAAGTTGCTGACCAAAATGGGTTTGATTCTTCAGCTTGCAAAGATCTGGTATTGTATTAACTGTAGTTTGATGAACAGCAGAAGTGGTCGTGGAAGCGTTTATTATTCTTGTTTGGCAGAGGGAGTATAGAACACAAGTTTTGCAAGCTTTAACAACTATCATGCTTTTAAACAGAGGAGTATTGTACAAGCGGTGACAAAATTACGCCTGAGCTTATTTTTGGTTCCTCGAGAACTACACGTAGACTACGCAATAACATTAAGTTAGAAAATTAAGGTCATCTACTGGAAAATTAAGGGTTCGACATGGCTCCAAAGGAATCACAATCATAAATACATTTAATTTTGATGAAACCCTATTTACTGCAAACCCTTGATTTTAGTTAGGTGAAATAACATCTTTGATAGCCCCATAGACTAAATATATTAGCTTTAATCAAGGTTCAGAGCTTCCCGTTCGGATTTTTCCGGGGCTCTAGGTATAAAGCTACAATAAGCTGTAAGACAAAAAGCAGGTCAATAGGCACAACTGATGGGCCTTATTCTTCAAAAAAGAAGTATCACGAAGTAGAGCTCGCCTAATCAGCGAAGTCCGACGGCCATTTTTTAGTGCGGAATAGTTTTGCAACCCGCTCTTGATGCTGAAATTCATTCGGTTTTTGCAACTTCGCTACTACATTTTCGCAGTCAATATAAATACGCCTGCAACTGTTCTCTGTTCCTACTAAATCACCTATAAGCAACAATTTACTATAAGTATGTCTACTCCATGAAAAATCACTGCTAAAGGTTTCGGAACCATGTCAGTGACATGGTGTCCAGTTCCACTGCTATTTACAAATCCATTGAAACTTTGAAATATGTAAAGGACACTTTAGCTTCTTGCACTATGCGAATCGCCAAAAGGGGTTACAAGAGAACCCTTCAATCTTATGTGAAAATAGGTTCCAACACATCATTCTCTTGTCCTAAGATTGAAACAAGGTACTATGGTGGTGTGTGCAGGTAAACGCGGGTGCACTTATGGTATAGATACCGTCGAAGAGTATGAAACCAGCATCAACCAAGTTATGAGCGATTGTCTTGCTATTTGGAAAGTGTGCGGGTAAATTTGATTCCGCAAAATTTTAATCCAGCACTATAGCACTACCGATCCATAATTCTGCTGGTCCTATAACAACATTTCTCATGCTAAAGCGATGTAACAAGTTACTGCCCTACCCGCTTATTTCGGAATTGTAGCTTTGTAACATGCTGATTTAGACCACCAATATATGAAAGGTTCTTTGTGAAAATCTAATACCTGAATTAGATATCCTATAGTATTAGTACAAAGTTTGATTACTTCAACAACTAAAACATTTACTAATATAGTACCAAATCATGGCAAGCGAAAAAACTAGATAAAGAGAAATCATAATAACCAAACATTTATAAATGACCAGGTTTTTCATTTATGAATCACCCCAATGTTCTATTGGATAGATTCAAAATGAGATCCACAAAAGAGCGGATAGCACAGCCAAAAATGTGTATGTGTTCTTTGAACCCGTAGCCTCGTAAGTGGAGAA